GACCCGGACCCGGCTGAAAACCGACAGTTTTCAGACCCGCCGGTACAGGGCCGGTTCATCGGACCGGCCCTTAGTTCCAACCGGGCCGGTCTCGGTTCGTCCATCCCAGGACCCGTGGCCCGCCGGGCCGGCCCGGGCCGAAACCCGACACCTGGCCACGTCTACTCTCTCCATGTATTAATTGAAAGTTGCCCATTAGTTACTGTTGTTCCCAATTCCTAGGCTGCCCATCAGATGGGCCCATCTCCAATTCTTCTAAATCAACAAATCAACTATGCTCTATATTGGAATTAATGACACCCTCTATCTATATTTTTAAACATTTTATATTAATACTCTCACTTATTATTTAGACAAACTTACTCCTTTCTTTTCCATATACACTTTTTTCATGAATGCATTCAAGTTCAAGTTCTCATCATCATAGACCCTATTAGTAACTTCTCCGTAACTTCTTCTCCTTTTTCTCATGACTTCTTATTTTTCTTTTTTCTTATTTCTTCTCTTATTTTTTTTCCCTTTTCTTTCTCCTCTTCTTCTTCGTGTTCTCTAATTTTTTTTCTATTATATCTCACCGATTTTCTTTCTTCTTCTCTTTTTTCTTATTCCTTTTTTTATGTCTCGTTTTCTTCTTCTTCTCCTCCTCTTTTCGTTTTTTTATCCACGATTTTTATTCCTTATTATTCTCTCGTTTTCTTCCATTCTTCCATTTTCATTCCTTTTTTTCTCTTTCTATTCTACTTCTTCTTCAATTTATATTTTCCCTAATCTAATTTCCCAATTTCTTCAAATCCGCATCCCAAATATTTTCGAAACCATGGACTGCTTGAAGTTCTTGAAAAATTTCTATTCTACTCGATGTTATGCAACAGGGACAATCGTAGATGTAGCCTTCGAATCAGTTCGCAAGCAGCATGTTGCGCTGCTTGCTGCTCGGATTCCAAATTCCAGACGTCAACTTGTTTGGAATGGGCGTGCAAGGTTCGAATAGCAAATCGTCATAAAAGGATCTACGACCTCCGACTGCTCGTCGTCGTTACGGCTCAACGATGGAGCATCTTTGGGTTCAATCGGTATGGACAATTTTTAATAATTTTTTATTTTTTAGGCTTGGTGTGTTTTTACGATTTTGATGACGATTATTAGCCTTCGATTCACAACACTCAGTTGAACGATCGGATTGAGTTTTTAGAGGAAGTCTATAGAAATTATTTTCATTCGTTATGTGTCTGTTGATTTTTGTTTATGTTGAGGTTTGTTAATGTCTGGATTGTTATGGTTGTTTTTATGTTACTTTTATGTTGTCATGTTGTTATTTTCTTGTTGCATCCAAGATTTTTAGTTCTTCATATTTATCTAAATTTTTTCATGACTATCATTTGTTTGCCACACAAGTTTTTGACTAACGTCACGCGACCCGATGTTCAGATCCGTATGTATTTTTTTCTTGATTATTGCGGTTTTGATTTTATTTTTCTTTTCTTTTGTTTGTTATTATTTATTTGGTTTGTTTTTCCTCGTATTTTTTTTAATTTTGTTTTGGGTGCATATTGATTGCACAAAAAATTTTATTTTCTTATTTGTTATTTTTCCTCTCATACATGATCACTTCATCCTAAGATTGTTGTTTTTTCTTTTTAGCCTTCAACATATTTTTTTTATTAATTTTTTATTCTTTGGAATTCATGTTCACAGATGAAGAAAAAGGAAGAAAGACAAACGTGCAAGGAGAAATATGAGAGAGAAAGAAGAAAGAGAAAAGAGGATAAGAAAAGAGAAGTAGGATAGAGAAAGAAAAAAAGAGGATGAGAGAGATTGTTTTGTAACTCCCGTGGTAGCAGTTACTAATTGTTTATAAATATTTTATGTTTGACTAATATTGTCTAATTTTCGGGTGTATTTGGAATTGTGTATGACTAGTAACTATTGCAGATTATTTTTCTTAAAGTGGGACCGTTATAAAATTTTTCCGCTATATTGGTGCCTCTTTCCATGGCCCATATTGGGCTGGTATGGGGTGCCCGTATTGGCCTACTACTCAATTTTCGTTTGGTGCTATGCCGCCATTAAAATATTTTATTATTCTGAAAATAAATCATGAATAAACTTTAACTAAATTATTTGCGAACATGTCAACTTGACTTATTTGATAGAGAAGTTGGATCATTTGTTTGAATTTGACTCGTTTAAATATATAAGCAAGTCAAGCTTAAACTTTACATGTCGAATCGAACTATGTTAGAGGACAATTCAGTTCAGATAACAACTGTATATTATTTTAGTCCCAAGGTAAAAAAAAGTTCTTGCCATGCTCGTGGATTTCATTGTGAATATCGTATAATTAAATTCTGGTTTATTGAAAAATAAATTGAGAAGAAAACAATTATCTTAGAACAAGGAAACAACTAACCAAGCTGTGAATATATTATAAGGAGATGTTACGGTTTCATTACGGAACTATTTCGTTATTGTGAATATAGTATAATTAAATTATGGTAAAAAATAAATTGAGAAGAAAACAATTATCTTAGAACAAAGAAACAGCTAACCAAAATGTGAATACAATATAAGGAGATGCTACAGTCTTTACGGAACTATTTTGTCGGAGTTTGTAATCATTGGATCAACTAGTTAAATGATGATCTAGCAGTTACAATTCCGAGAGAACGGTTCCACGACGACACCGCAACCACTACAAGGAAAACTGCATTTGGTGATGCTTATTTTTTTGTTTACTGATGCTTATTTTTTTCTGACATCAAATTTAGCAACACAACTCGCCAATAAGCGTCATTAATAAGCGTTGCCAAATGCAATTTTTCTTGTAGTGAACATTTCCATAAAAAACAAAAAGAACAAAACATTTTTATTAAGGCGACACGTGCGCAGCGTTAAGCGCCACCTGCAGGGAAGCAGTAACAAGCGGCGGACAAATTTCGTTAAAGTATGCGCCAAATGCTAAAATGTCGCGCCAAACTTTTTATTTCATTTCATTTTCATATCATTTATTTTTTCCCTCTCTCTCTCTCACTGGCGGGAAACAAATTATTAATAAAACCTTAATTAATTATTATAATAATCGCACAAAAAAATACTACTGTAGAAAAATCAATTAAATTATTATAAACGCAATATAAACAATAAGAAAAAAAAGAGAAAAATCAAGGGCTTTTATCGCTCTTCATCTCCTCCTTCATTTCTGCTTAAAACCCTTTCGTCTTCTTCTCATCAGTGAAGAAATTCAGATCTGACCCATTTTGTAACCCTCGTTTTGCGATATACAGAACAGACTTGTTCACATTCAGCCGTTTCGTATTTTTATTCGGAGCAAAAAGGTTCGTTTTGCCCAATTGGAGCAAAAATGGCGGAAGTTGAACCGATGCAAATCGACGGCGCCGAGAAGAGTAAGCCGACCATCGACGAGTCGTGTCCGAAGAAGAAGCAACTGAAGAGAAAAAGAGTGGACCCGTGTTTGCTCTCGCCGGACCCAGAAGAAAAACAAGCGAAAATCGCTGCATTTCGCAGCGAAATCATCGGTCTTGTTAAGCTGTGTAAGGATTTAGTGTTCGAAAACAAGGGGGAGTTAATGGGGAATGTAGGGAGAGCTGGGAATTCGTTGAACAGTGTGATTGCATGCTTGATGGAGGAGAGCGACCTTCCTTTATCGAAGCTAGTTGATCAAGTTTTTGAGAGAATTAAAGGCGTTAGTGGGGTTGGCGATGGTGTTAGCAAGGCTTCTGTGAAGAGTGCTGTGCTTATAGTTGGACAGAGATTGTGTTATGGTGTGATTAGTGCAGATGCTGATGTTTTGGAAGACGAGGATGAGTGTGCTCTTTGGTGTTGGGAGGTATAATTTGCAGACTTGCAGTCGACCTCCTTTTTTGTTTTTGGTTTTCTTTCTGGTCTGCTAATTATTGTATGCTATGTTTTGCTCGTCAATTGTTTTGCATTATCTTGGCTTTTCTGTTGGGTTATGCGGCTTATAAATATTGCATATGGTTCTGTTGCATTTTATGTGGGATTATGCGCATGTTTTATTTTTTTGATTGGTTTGCATCACATTATATGGCTGAAAAATGATGTCACTTAATGCAGCAATTTATCTGGATATGCAATTAGATTAACTTTTGAATTTGCTTAGGTAACAGCCCTGGTTTGGTAATGATGGGTATTTTAGGTATCAGAAAGGTAAGTGATCTTCTGTTTTCCGTTTGGAGGATCACAGTGAATTGAAACCCGACGTTGGTTTTGTAAAAGATAAAAGAATTATAAAATTAGTGTAGTTTTGATGTCTAGCTTAATTATCTGTAACTACAAGATGAGTCAAATTGTGATTTATTTGTTGTCGCATTAGTTAATTATCCAGCTGGGTAATATTTTCCATGCAAGGTAACATATTCTATGTATCACCGGCTACTTGCATATGTAAAATTTTACTTCTATAATCAGCTTTAGTTTCATCGGTGTAGCATTTTCCAAAGTCTTACAATCGCTTGTTATTTCAACATAAATGTGGATTGTGCTTTTCTTATATGAATTACTGAATCGTGTTCTCTGTTATAGACAAGAGACTTAAAGTTGATGCCAACATTATTGCGTGCATCTCTGAAAGTTCGGCGCACTTGTCGGAAAAAGATCCAGGAGAGGATTATGGCTCTTTCTGGTAAATTCTGATTGAGCTATTTTATAAATCAAATTGACATTATTTAGTTTAGTTGGTGTAAACTATGTCATTTCATGCAAATTCACTTTCAAATGCATAATGAAGGACTGAAGCAGCTTTTATTGTGTGATTTTGGCTGCTTATATTTTGAATTTGCAAAGATGAAAAGGATCAATAAGTAAATTAGGCTATCGAAGTCTTTCAGATTGAGACCTCTTTATGGAAGCTTAAATTTCACTATTAGACCCACCAGCGATCAATGGATTTGACTTATTAAGATAACTTTGTATCTGGGTTAAATGTTGAAAATGATATTACAGGTTATGAGTTGGAGGGATTTAGTATTTTGATGGGGGGCAAAGCAGATGCGCAATTTGTATTTTGCAGGAAAACTTCATTTGCTTACTTCTGTTTCTATTTTCTTTTTGTTGTTCCCCTTTTTGCTGAATATGCTCTTTCACTGATTTAATATTCAGGTTTTCTGTGGATATTATAACTTGTCACTTGCTATCTGTATTGCGCTATTGTAATTTCTATTCACTTGTTTTTGGAGCCTTCTAACTGATTCATCTTGGAGACATTTTTTTCTTTGAGTCCTTTGTAAGTTTATTGGGAAGTTTTTATGTTTCAGCAATGATAAATGCCCTGGAAAGTTCAGAAGATCATCCAAATTGTGTGCAAGAGTTGATGAAAGCTTCAGAAAAACTAAGTAAAGTTTTAAATGAGGCGGATATCCGGTTGTTAGTGGAAAAGATGACACATAAAAGTGGTGCAGAAATGTAGGTACTACTTATAGTGCGTAGCCAGGTGCTTTTGAACTGTTAGCTTAATTATTGTTTTATTGTATGAAGGGCTGAGAAAGTAGCCAAGAGAGAAGAATTACAGTTAATCAAGCAAATGGAGAAGAACAAAAGAGAAAAGGAGAGAGAGAAGAAGAGAATGGATCGGGAACTTCAGAAGGAAAAGTTACAAAGTGTATGTAACATGTCAACATTAAAATTTCATTATTATTACATAGTTGGAGTTCTGACTTTAACATGCTGCATCACTTTTACAGCATAAGTTTTTCATGTGTCCTAAATCCTAATGCAAGTGTGAAACATTTTTGCAGGAAAAAGAGCTAAGACGGTTGCATGATGAGGCAGAAAAAGAAGAAAGGCGACGCGAGAAAGAAGAAAATGAAATTCAGAAACAGCAGAAGAGGCAGCAAGAGGAGGCCGAGAAAGAACTAAGGCGCAAGGAAAAGGAAGAAGCCGAGTTAAGAAAAAGTCTGGCTCTCCAAAAGCAGGCGTCACTAATGGAGCGTTTTCTCAAGAGAAACAAAACCAATTCCCTGTCTGAGAAGGACAGTCCCATGAACAAAGCAACCACATCAGGTTCATCTTTGAACATGCCTGAGAAAATAGCTGAATCAGTTTCTCTAGCAATGGATTCTGTATTGGCCCAAAACGATGGAGCAGAAGTGAGAGAGATATGGAGGTTGTTCTTAGTGACCTGCCAATGAATATAAGTGTATGATTTTCCTTTTTTTTTTCTTTAATTATGCTACCTTTTGCAGGTCACACTTAAATGCTTGGCGCTGCAAGGGACGTTCAATGCAATCGAACAGTAAAATGCATTGGGGCATCCGTCAGATGCCTAAGACTGAGTTGGTCAAGGAACTAAAGCTTACTGCCAATAAAGAACTGTATTTTCATGGGGACTTGAATGAGGAGAAGCTTTCAGTTGGATGGGTCGAATCCAATGCTGACAGACAACCGTCTCATATGAAAACATATGATAATCCTCTTCCTTGTAGTAAGAAGAACATTCGAGCTAGGAAGCTGTTGCAGTTTGATAAGAGCTATAGGCCTGCATTTTATGGGGTTTGGCCCAAGGAAAGGTGAAATGTTTTACCAAGTTCCATCTTAATGTCTTGCTTCCTGGTTAGTCCTGTATATAAGGACAACACAACTATGGCTGCGTTTAACTTCAAAGTTCAAAGTTTGCAGGACATGATCTGTTTGTCATATTTTGTGTGATTTATTTGTTATCATTTCATAATATTAATAATCTGGAATGGAATGCAAGCAGAATCAGTTGTTTGCTGTCATCTTTAGTCACACCTGCCTTATTTTAATAAGGAATTCAGGTGGAGGATATCATTTGAATTTCCCAGTGAGGTTGTAGTGTGGTGAATGATTTTTCTTGTAGTATACTAAATTGTCATTTGTATATGATAAGCTCTTTTGTTTTTAAGCTGCCTGCGGATGCTACTAAGTTGAGAATATAGTTATATTCTCGCCTGCTTATTAACAAATTGTATTTTGCCTTCTAACTTTATGTTCCTCTTTTTTGCAGTCAAGTTGTTGGCGGACGTCATCCTTTTGTGAAGGACCCTGATATTGACTATGAGATTGATAGTGATGAGGAGTGGGAAGAGGTATGGTATCCCCATTATTTAGAAATGGTTATTCTCATTGTCATGCTTATAATGTAAAGGACTGGTAAAACAGGAAGAACCTGGTGAGAGCTTATCAGATTGTGATAAGGATGATGAAGAACAAAGTATGGAAGAGCATGTTAACGATGAGGATGAAAGTGAAGATGGATTCTTTGTTCCTGATGGATATCTGTCAGAGAATGAGGTACTGAAATATTATAACATCTCCTACTGTTTAGTATCTCACTCTCACGTTTATCAATATGCATGTGGATGCATGCTTGTGTTGGGCTATACCAGTATGGTGTTTGTTGCAATACATTTAGGAGTGCACATATTTTGATTTAATGTATAATTTAGTTTGCATTTTCGGGTTCTAGTTTTGGTTTTGGATTCAGTGCTGAGCTTAACAGGAAAGAGAATTATAATTTTTCACAGATGTTCATATAGGATTTTATAGAATGCATTATGGCTGTTGCTCATTTAAGCTATTTATTTTTGTGTACCAGCATAACAAATAACGAAGTAAAAAGAACATTTGTAGTTTCATAAGCTATCTGTTCTTTCTTACATTTGGTTACTGAGTAAATCCATCTTAGAAACAGGAAGAAAAACAGATAACTGTTCAAAATTGATCAATCAAGCCAAACTGAACATGTAACTCTAAATACACTCTTAAATTTGAACAGCACTTTCAAAACTTTTATTTATTCATAGGAACTCTAATTTTATTTTATTTTGGTGCAGGGTGTAAACTCTGATGAAATGGACTCTGACAACATGGTCGAAAATTCAAAAAATTCATCCAACTCTGAGCAGCAAATCCAGAGTGAAGAATTCTGTGCCTTGCTTCGCCAACAGAAGTACCTGAGCAATATAACAGAACATGCACTCAAAAAGAATCAGCCGTTGATCATATTGAATCTTATGCATGAAAAGACTGCTTTGTTATCAGCAGATGAGTCCACTGGTTCAGACAAGCTTGAACGAATGTGCTTGCAAGCACTTTCTATTCGCCCATTGCCTGGTTTACCAGAGATAGATATTTCAATTCATGGTGATGTGGCAGATGAGGAAAATGATGCTTTCTGTGACACTTCATTTGCAACACCTCCTGTAACCAGTGCAGCTATTCTGGAGTCAGATTTGCCTCAGATTGTAAGTGATTTGTATTCAGGATAGTTAGAAATACCAACATCAATGTTTAGCCTATTAAAAAACGACAGTTATTTTTTCAAAATAAAATTCTTCATTAATATATGTCTTCACAAATTGCACTGATCTGCGGTGATAATCTATGAAACAAATACTAACCTCTAGTTGGTATAGCTTGGAGGGTATCTGTATTGTAATTCATAAAGATGATCAGGCTTTTTACAGTTTTAGTGATTATGCTGGGCATTGAGCAATATTTAGTTACCCTTCATTGTATTTGTGCAGTTTGCCTAATATGATTTGGTTTCTGTTGTATTTTCCATGCCTAACATTTTTCCTTGTCTAAATTCATCTAGATATCAATCATTCAGTCAAACCCAGTTAGCATTGATAAACTTGGAACATCACTAAAGAACAAGTTTCCAGCTGTCTCCAAATCCCATCTGAAGAATAAAGTGCGGGAAATATCTGAGTTCTCTGATAATCGTTGGCAGGTTAGCAAGCTTTCTTTCTCCAAGATTTACTGATTTAGACACAATATAGCTTTCAGTATTGGAAATATGCCATATAATATTGCAAATACCTTATTGAGGTTTGTATATATTTCACAAACAACCTCAACAGTGTGAAATTTGTAAAATAGCAACACATGTCAAGATGCATTTGTAATCATGATAGATTTCTAGATGTTAGAGTTATAGATTCGGGGAAAGGGTTGCCGTCCCATAAGGGTGAAGTGCACCATAAGAGCATCCACAATGCTTTGAGTTCAATCAAAAAAAATTGAATGCCACCTCGGAAAAAGACTCGGTCTTAAAAAATATGTTCTCCAATGCAAGTGTAAGTGGACTAAGTCTTGCTGATGTGGCAGCAAGAAAAAGAGACCCGGTCTAACCTTAAGTCCATTTTAGACCCAAGTAGAGACCTAGTCTCCTTGCATTGGAGTAAATTTTGTTAATTTTATATATTTTTGTCCATGTCATCCAGGACTTAGGTTCATTTACATTCCACATAGACAAAACTAGACCTAAAGCATTGCAGAGGGTAAGCCTAGTTGCCACTTTAGAGAGTTTCCATCCCAAAACCAATTGGTGATGGGAGGAATAGCCCATTAGGCTTGTAAACTAAAGATCATTTACCCTATAGATTGTGTAGAATCTGTGTTGGACAACTCGCAAGGGATATCCCAACATTAGATGCATATTAGTTTTGGTTATCAATCAGCCAAAA